GTCAGGACACTGAAAGGGTTTCTCTCCTGTGTGAGTCCTCTGGTGTTGAACCAAGCCGGAATTGGTACTGAAACTTTTCCCACAGTCAGGACATTCAAAGGGTTTTTCTCCTGTGTGTGTCCTCTGGTGTTCAACCAATCTGGAATTGTGACTGAAACTTTTCCCACAGTCAGGACATTCATATGGTTTCTCTCCTGTGTGAGTCCTTTGGTGTTTCACCAGGTTGGAATTCTGACTGAAACATTTCCCACACTCTGGACATTCATACATTTTCTTCCTGATGTAAGTCCTCTGGTGAGTCACAAGGTTGGAATTCTGACTGAAACTTTTACCACAACCAGGACATTTAACGGGTTTCACTCCTGTGTGAATCCTCTGCTCTGATTTAGTGGTGATTTCCTCCCTCCCAGACCTAGGCCTGGAACACTGTCTGCTCTACGTGGCTTTCCAATTGTCCTTTTCCTCCCCAATAACTTCAAGATACTTCTCTCTTTTGCTGATTGGAAAAATAATCTCTTGACTTTTCATGTAATTTTTGCTTAAATTTCACACTCCAGTTGTCCCTGGTAGAAATCTCTTCTTGATTTTCTCTCGTTTCTCTCTCACCTGCTGAGGAAGGTGAAGGAAATGGAAGATATTCTGATTTCTGGACTGACTTGCTTTGCTATTCAGTGTTGCTTGTTATCCTCAGTTGTCCATAGTGCTCTTATTGCCATCCACTTTGTCTATAAGATTTAAATAAAAGGATATCTTTAATTGCACATAAAATATTTGCAGAAGATGAGAAAAAAAGATAAAGATTTATGTTACAATGACAAAGCAAACATGCCACAATGCTCAAATAAGCTCTTACATTAATCATGATTCATTTGAGACGTGGAAGAATTCCCAGATCCAAGTTCAAATATCCATTGAATGACGAAATTCATTTGTTGACCGGGTCAGTCACAAATTCCTAGCAGTGCAAAGGGTTCTTTTCAAATACAGTCAAGTGAAAAAGAAAGAGCACCCACTTTTTTCTACGGTTTTACTTATCAGGGTATCATAAATATCACCGCAACAGAACAGAACAGAATAACAGGATTGGAAGGGAACTTGCAGGTCTTCTAATCCAGTCTCTGCTCAAGCAGGATATTCTGCACTATTTTACACGTCTCTTCTGAAAAGCCTCCAGTGATGGAGCTCCACAACTTCTGAAGGCAAGCCGTTCTGCTGGTTAATTGTTCTCACCATTAGGAAATTTCTCACTGCTTCCATAGTATAAAGAGGCGAAGTAGCAGCCAAGTACTGCTAAAAAAAATGCCCTTGATCAACTGATCATCAGGAAGCATGACTACATCTACAAAAGCTGAACTTGGAGGAGTTTTCTGGTCTCCAGCATTGAGCTGTGTGTTAACATAATGCCAAAGAGTAAAGAATCAGCAGTGACTTTAGAGAAAGAATTGTTGCTGCCCATCAATATGGGAAGATTTAAAAGGCCATTTCCAAACAGTTTAAAATTCTTCATTCTACACTGAGGAAGATTATTCACAAGTGGGAAGCATTCCAGTCTCCCAGGAGTGGATATCCAAGAAAATTCGCCCAAAGATCAGACAATGCAATGACCAGAGAAATTGCTAAAAAACAAAGTGTTAAGACTCTACAACCTTCAGTTAGCATGTTAGACCAATGGTGGCTAAACTTTTTGGGCTCCTATACGAAAAATTGTGTGTGCGCTTGCGCACTCGCAGTCCCATGCCAGCACCCAGAAGGCAATGCACACCCTACCAAACAACAGTGTATCAGCGCAAGCATCTCATACCAACCGTCAACAATGGAGGTGGAGGGGTGATGATTTGGGCTTGTTTTGCAGCCACAGGACCTGGACACCTTGTACTCTTTGAGTCAACCATGAACTCCTCTGTATACCACAGTATTCTAGAGTCAAAAGTGAGGCCATCTGTCCAGTAGCTAAATCTAGGCTGACATCCGATTATGCAATAGGACAATGGTCGCAAACACATCAGGAAATCTACAACAGAATGGCTGAAAAAGAAAAGGATCAAGGTGTTGCAATGGCAGTCAAAATCCAGACCTCAACCCGATTGACAGGACCTCAAGAGGGTTGTGCCTAAAAAAACACCCACAAACCTCTGAACTGAAGCAATGTTGTAAAAAAGATTGAGATAAAATTCCTCCACAATGCTGCAAGAGACTGATAAAGTCACACAGAAAAGAATTGCTTCTAACAACTTCTCCATTGCGTGCACATGCGTAGGGGACGGGGGCACACGTATTGCCTTCTGGGTGCTGGCACGTGAGTGTGAATATGCAAGCGCGCACACAATTTTTGGCACAGGAGCCCAAAAAGTTTAGCCACTACTGCCCTATTCCATTCCGAACAAACGGCTGTCCAATCTCCTCTTAAGACCCTCCAGTGATGGAGCCCCCACAACTTCTGGAGGGGAGCCATTCCCAAAGGATCCACCTTCACTTGACGAGACAAATAAAGAATAACACAAGAACAGTGATCAACGTACTAGAGTATTATGAGGCCCATCCAGAAAAACAGCCGATCTTAGTTTTTCTGGATACTCAAAAGGCTTTTGGTAAGGTTAACTGGCAGTTTATGACCCAACAGATAAAAGGAATGAAATTTGGAGACAGATTTGAAAACATGATGGAGTCAATATACTCCTCCCAGAAAGCAAGCATAATAATAAATGGGAAATTTACAGATACATTCAAAATAATGAAAGGAGTACGGCAGGGCTGTCCTCTGTCACCTCTGCTCTTCATCCTGACGTTAGGGCCTTTGTTAATAAAATCGAATTGGGAGATAAGAGGGCTTAAAATCAAACAAGAACAATATAAGGTCCAAACGTTTGCAGATGACCTGGTATTTTTCATAGAAGAACCATTGGAGACGGGACCAAAATTAATACAAGAGATAGAAAAATTTGGGGAAGTATCTGGCCTTACAATTAATAAAGAGAAAACTAAAATGATAATTAAAAATCTAACAGATGATCAGAAGAGGGAATTAGAGAAAGAAACAGGACTGCAAAGAAAGTTAAATATTTGGGCATCTGACTAACAGCGAGATGATCATCAATAAAAGGTGATTATTACATGAGTTTAGGACAACAAAAAGAGATTTAGAAGGATGGGGGGAAATACAGTTATCTTTGTCAGGAAGAATTTGTGGCCATTAAGATGAATATTCTGCCAAAACTACTTTACCTATTTCAAATGATCCCTGTGAAATTGGACAAGAATTTTTTCCCCAGATCCAAACAAAATAACTACAAAATTTATATGGGCGGGCAAAAGAGCAAGAATAAAATTAAGTGCAATACAAGATAATAGAAGCAGAGGTGGCTTGGACTCCCAGCTTGGGAAATTTACTATAAAGCAGCAGACCTAAAATGAATTAAAGAATGGATAAACTTAAGAAATAAAAGAATTCCATTTCTGGAAGGGCACCATCTACAGGCAGGGTGGCATGCCTTCATGTGGAGTCCCAGATGTAAAGCCCATACATATTTCCACAGACATATATTAAGGGACTCGCTAATACGAATATGGGAAGAAATTAAAAATAAACATCACATAAAAATCCCGGGAAGGTATCCATTATGGAGGCAATGATAAACCCCAATACTTTAGAACTAGGAGGAATGGCCAGATATTATGAAATTTTAGATCCCCAAGGAGCATTAAAGACCAACCAGGAATTAAGAGATCTGGGACTAAATATAGACTGGTGACTGTACCTTCAATTAAAATCAAAATATAAAAAAGACCAAGAGAAATTTGGAATTGTGGTAGAACCAAACCAACTAGATAAATTAATGGTAGAAATATTGGACCAAAATACAAAACTGGTTGAAGGAAATTACAAAAGTCCAAACAGAATTTAAAGCAGAAATATTTCTCCTGAGAATTATCAAAGAGAATTATACGAAAGAGATAAAATATCTAATCCTCCATAAGAGCAGCGATATTAGCACTCACACAATGTTGGAAAGGAGTTTTTTTTTCAAAAAAGTTTTTTATTTTTTAAATTTTACACATCTCTTTACATGGGCAAAGTGATTCCAGATTATAACACTTGTACATAATCGTACTTTCATTTCCACCAATCTTATATAATATCATCTCATATTATCTATTTCACTCATCTTTAAATAATTTTCCATTTCATATTTCAATTCATTAATTCAATATCATTATCATTTCATCTATATATAGATTCCCAGTTCTCTATCCCCTATTATTTCCGTTTTCAGCTTACCACCTATTTTATTTAATATTACACCATTATTATCCTTAATTTTTCCTAGACCAATTATATAATAAGCAATTTAAAAAAAGTAAAAATAAGACAAAACCAATATATTTAGGATCCACATGGTATATCCCCTCAATCTAATTTAAGAATTAATTCCCCCACTTTAAACATATTAACATTAAATAATCAACTGTATATTTTAAAACATACGTATTTTAAGGTATCCCCCTGAAATTGCTAAAATGACTTAACATGTCTCATTTCATCTTCACTTTTCTTTTAATCATTAATAATCATATTTTCCCCCTTTCTACTTATCCAAAATTTATAAAAGTGAAATGTATTAAAACATATAATCATTAATAATCATATTTTTTCTTCCTTTCCACTTATCCAAAATGTATCTATATATTTTAATACATTTCCTTTCCCCTGTTTTAATCCTCCAATGTAAGGGTTCATAACAGCATAATTCATATAGTTATATATACACTGCTCAAAAAAATAAAGGGAACACAAAAATAACACATCCTAGATCTTAATGAATGAAATATTCTTATTAAATACCTCGTTCATTACATAGTTGAATGTGCTGACAACAAAATCACACAAAAAATATCAATGGAAGTCAAATTTAGCAACCCATGGAAGTCTGGATTTGGAGTTACACTCAAAATTAAACTGGAAAGAAACACTATAGGCTGATCCAACTTTGATGTAATGTCCTTAAAACAAGTCAAAATGAGGCTCAGTAGCATGCGTGGCCTCCACGTGCCTGTATAACCTGCCTAAGATGCCTAGGCATGCTCCTGATGAGGTGGCGGATGGTCTCCTGAGGAATCTCCTCCCACACCTGGACTAAAGCATCCCCCAACTCCTGGACAGTTTGTGGTGCAACATGGCATTGGTAGATGGAGGGAGACATGATGTCCCAGATGTGCTCAATTGGATTCAGGTCTGGGGAATGGGCGGGCCAGTCCATAGCATCAATGCCTTCATCTTGCAGGAACTGCTGACACACTCCAGCCACATGAGGTCTAGCATTGTCGTGCATTAGGAGGAACCCGGGGCCAACTGCACCAGCATATGGTCTCACAAGGGGTCTGAGGATCTCATCTCGGTACCTAATGGCAGTCAGGCTACCTCTGGCAAGCAGATGGGGGGCTGTGCGGCCCCCTAAAGAAATGCCACCCAACACCATTACTGACCCACTGCCAAACCGGTCATTCTGGAGGATGTTGCAGGCAGCAGAACGTTCTCCACGGCGTCTCCAGACCCCATCACGTCTGTCACATGTGCTCAGTGTGAACCTGCTTTCATCTGTGAAGAGCACAGGGCGCCAGTGGCGAATTGGCAAATCTTGGTGTTCTCTGGCAAATGCCAAACATCCTGCATGGTGCTGGGCTGTAAGCACAACCCCCACCTGTGGACCTCGGGCCCTCATACCACCCTCATGAAGTCTGTTTTTGACTGTTTGAGCAGCCACATGCACATTTGTGGCCCGCTGGAGGTCATTTTGCAGGGTTCTGGCAGTGCTCCTCCTGTCCCTCCTTGCACAAAGGCGGAGGTAGCGGTCCTATTGCTGGGTTGTTGCCCTCCTACGGCCTCCTCCACATCTCCTGATGTAACGGCCTGTTTCCTGGTAGCGCCTCCATGCTCTGGACACTAAGCTGACAGACACAGCAAACCTTCTTGCCACAGCTCACATTGATGTGCCGTCCTGGATGAGCTGCACTACCTGAGCCACTTGTGTGGGTTGTAGACTCCGTTTTATGCTACCACTAGAGTAAAAGCACCACCAGCATTCAAAAGCGACCAAACCATCAGCCAGAAAGCATAGGAACTGAGAAGTGGTCTATGTTCACCACCTGCAGACCCACTCCTTTATTGGGGATGTCCTGCAAACTGCCTATGCTTTCCACCTGTTGTCTATTCCATTTGCACAACAGCATGTAAAATTGATTGTCAATCATTGTTGCTACCTAAGTGGACAGTTTGATTTCACAGAAGTGTGATTGATTTGGAATTACATTGTGTTGTTTAAGTGTTCCCTTTATCTTTTTGAGCAGTGTATATATAGTTATATAATCCTAAAATAATTTCCAGCAAGTTTTAAACTAAATACCAATATACATTCCCATGTGGTATCCCCCTTATAAAATCCCTAACCCTTATCTCTAAATCTCGTAACTTTATCATTTCTTTTAATTTTGACTAGTTTTCCCTTTTCTAAGTTTCCCCAGTCTTTCTTCTTTTTTCCTTCTAGCCTTATTTTTATTTCCCTCTGCTTGTCAGCCATGTTCCCCCCACTTTTTAGTTCTCTTTTGGGGGGTTTCTTCTTACATATTCCCTTCTTCTTCTTTGTCTTGGGTGTCTTATCTCTTTTATTTGTTGTCTCTGTTGTCAATGTCTCTGTTTTAAATCCTTTTATGTCCTTTGGGAATGATCCTTGTTCTTCATACTCATCAAGACTGTTATTTTCCTCTTATAATTCGTCCTCTCTGAGCTTCCTTTGTTCTTCTGCAAGCTGTGATACCATTACTTTACTCACCATTATCTCCACCAGTCTCATTCTTTCTTTAAACATCTCTCTCACAGTTTGGAGCTCCGACTTAAATTCTTTGCTTATTTCTTCCATTTCTTTGGTCAAGTTTTTCTGTTATAGTCCTTGTCACAA